GAAACCTTAAGGATTCGTTTGAAAATATTTTTAAAATGACTAAAAGCACTCTAAAAAAAATATTTATAAGTTCTAAAAACAGTTTCAAACAAGGCCTAAATTGTCAAAATAATATATAGACCAATAATGCATATCACACTTAAAATTACAACTTAAGTAAACATGGATAAATTAGGCCATTAAACATAAGCTCGTGATATCTGACTAGTTAATTGCTTTGACATAATTTCTTCAACTTGTATTTTTCCTATGATTAAGATAAACAAACAGTCTATGAGTTAATTAATTCTATAAATCCCAATAGAAGAGTTAGAATTTGCTTTGTATTTAATCCCCAACCTAATCAATCATTTCAAAAAATAGCAGTATCGGTATTATGTCTTTCCCAAAAGAAGAAGTTAAACTATGGAAAGCTTCAGACTCTAGTTGGAGGACCATGGTCGAACTACTAATTAAGTCACTCTTCTTCTTTAGTCTTTTCCTTCAAAAACAAATTCGGAGCTGGATCATTCATATGTATTTAAAGCATTAATGCAGTTAATTCTAATAAGCATATATGAAAATATCACTTACGAGATCACTTATTACCAAATGAAATAATAATGCATTATTATATATTGGATGAAATAGTCGGTTATTCATATAATTCTATTAAAAATGATCTGCTAGGGAATTCATCACAAAAGTCTACTCTTTAATTAGAATGCCGAAAAGACAACATAAGCGTTTTAGACTCCTCCTGACCGCCATCGTCTCAAATATATCCAATCATGTTAAAACAAAATGTATTCATTCTTATAGGTTTCTAAAATATTGGACATATAGTTTACTTTGTGTTGTTGAATAATGTAAAAAATCTTTAAAACTATCAATTATAATTAAGTAGTTTCGCTTCCAATTTCAAACGATTGAAATAATTTGTAGTAAACTCCGATGAACCTACTTTTTAAAATCTTGACCTGATATCAGAACTGAATCCAACTCGACGGTTGCAGTTGTGAATATAGACTGTTGGTGAGTCATCCTAGTAAAGGCGAAGGTGGAAAATGACTTTTCATGTAGTTACAATAAACACAGAGTGAGAGGTTCAGAGAAGTTCCACACTTCCACACTTCCACACTTCAGAGAAGTCCTAGAAATGTGTTCCATATTTCATATCAATTCATCATCTCATGCATGCATGTGACTTTGTGGTACTACAACTATAAGGCGATGATCGTTAACATATGTCATCAGATTTTACGTGCAGGCGTGCTACGCGTGACAAGTCGATCCTCATGCTTTTGCTTGCCTACAAATGGTGCTCTATTGGACCGCCACCACCTCCTAATTTTTGAGAAATTTTAACTTACGCATGTATCAGCAGCAATTATTTCAACCTATGTGTGTTGTAATATGAATAGACGATAAGGTTGATACGTTTCTTTTAAAAAAATTATTAATAAAAAATAAATACGATAATAATTAAAATAAATTAGAACCACCATATTTAACTTAAATAATATTATTGTTTATAATAATAAACACCACATGACGGTATCATGGTTAACGAAAAAAATCGTTCCATTTTTCACTTGTAACAATGCTTCAAAACCACGTATTTTCAAACGCAAGCTGATGCTATGTAAAACAAACTACTCCATCATCAAAATCGGCAAATTTCAACTATTTATTTATTTTCTTCTTCATATATATATATATGTTCATGTAAGCTATAAGCAAACCTGAAACTCTCTGTGACTGTGAGGGCCTAACAAACCAATCAGTTTCTGCCATATAAAAACATTTGCATCGCTGGAGCTATGAGTCTAGACAGGTCACCAGTAACATATTTTTATATTAATTTTTGTATGAAGTTGTAAACGGAAACAAACGAAGTCGGCCTTTTTGTTTGATTCACCGTTTTGGAGTCAATGTCCGATGTTCAATAACTAACGTTCAAGCCATGCAATCCATAATACACCCCTTAATTATCCTTTCCATACCTGATTTTGTTCATTCAAAACCCTAAAACTATTTATGCCATATATTTCCAATCGCATACTTATCATCTCTCTCAAACTCCGCATTTGCATTACCTTGTTACGAGGTACGCGGCACATATGTAACATGTGCAGCATTACAAGTGAAGTTTGTAGTTGTAATGGTAGAATACTGACTTCACGCTAAAGACTGAAGTTCGATCATTGTCATCAACATTCTTAAACTGCGGTCGTAGACCAATTAAACAAGGTCAAATTCCTCAAGTAAGACCGTCGTTCATGTCTTCATTATTGCAGGCAAGAGTATCGTCGAAATAATGTGTTTTTGAGCTAGTAGTCAATTAAAATCGAGTTCCTTAATCCTTGAAGTTTTTGTTACTTGCATGGGTATTGACGGTAATGATAACGATGTTCATGTCTTTGTTATTGCAGGCAAGAGTATCATCAAAATAACGTGTTTTTGAGCTAGTAGTCAATTAAAATCGAGTTCCTTAGTCCTTGGAGTTTTTTTTATTTGCATGGGTATTGACGGTAATGATAACGATGTTATTACAACGACAACTACGTGTACTTATATTACCCACATTCCTTAAACATATATGTAGAGGACAATTTAGCCAACCTACTTGCTAAATGTCGTACTATGATTACATATGACGATATAAACTATGGACAATCTGCAATTACGATATGCACTTCAGAAAAATCAGGCCGGGTGAATGAACAAACCGTTTGACAATTCACAATTAACCCTAAACCCTAATTTTGAGAGGCCGAGTCAACTATTTTCTTTTTGATAGAATTTCATTAAAGTTAAAGTCAAATAGAAATGTTTACATTTATTGATAGAATATTAAACATAAATTTAGGAAAATTAACCCCATTTGAGTTTGCCCCCAATTCTACTTACAAACCAAGCCATTGAATCAGCCGCCCTATTGCAACGCCAGTCAACTATTTTCTATACTTAAAAGTTTCAAAATCAAACAAATTTTGATACGAGCAAACAATCTTTGCCGGTCGTCTAGTAACTTGTTGACTTTGTGTTATATTTAAGGTGCAATAAGATTCAACTCGCGTCACATTGATGCTAAATCACCAAATAATCTTCAGTAAATGAGCAAATCCCTCGTTTTCAAATTCCTATCTTGTCTTCCAAAACTTTGGTAACTTGAGAGGACGTTTGACTAATTATTAGCCAATATCTTACTATAATTAGATATGATTGAACAAATTTTGACTAATTTTTCATTTCTGTAGGATGATATATTATAATTGGAAAATTTTCATTTCTTAAGCATCGTTTGTGTCAAGTAATTAATTGGACAAATTGACTCATAAAACAAATTAAAGGCCCAAATTGTAACCGAGATTTGTGACATGATTTCCATTTGAGTGCATTTTTTTTAATTTTATTTTTCTTTTCTTTTTGGCTTTATGTGATAATTCCAGGCTACTAATTAATTATGTAATTGCAAAACTGACTCATAAAATTGACACTGGATATTAGTATTGGGATTATTGATGTAATTAAAAAAATTACCGTTTATTTAATTAAATTGTTTCTTGAAAGCAAATAATTTTTTATTATGGAAATTATTTAATGCCAATAATTTTTTCCACAAAAAAAATCAAACCACCATTACTATGACGACCCCACTTGAAGTTAACGGAAGACTTGATGCCAAACAGTGCGTAATGACGTTCTAAGATTTATATAGCTAATCTCACTTAGTGGAATAAGGCTTGGTTGCTGTTAAGGAGACACTTCAAAATAAAACTCTCCCCCGAACTCCCAGCCATCTCACATTTTAACGTTGATTTTTGTATAAATATTTAAAATATTATATTAACAATATGAGATAATAAAAAATTCATATAGAACGACATTTTGAGAAAATTCCTTTGCATTTTTCAAATCAGAATTATAATTGCCAGGTAAATCACAAGTGGACTTCGTCATGAGTGACGTGTACGGGGAAAATCCCTAATGGCTTGGCTGCCAAGAAATTGTTCCTTTTTTGGGGGTGGTGTAAATATATTTTTTTAAGATTTTTTAATATTTACTTTCCACAAGAAATGGATGCCAAGAAATTACCATAGATAAAATTTAGGAATATGCTATCCACATACTTTATTTTACTTCTCAAACACCCATCAATGATTTATATTCGTTGATCTTCTTCAATTTATTTGATCCGAATGTTAAATATTAAAAAAATATGTGAGAAGTAAAATAAGGTGTGTGGAGATCGGGAAGGTGAGAATATCTGGGTAAAACCAAAAAAATAGGAATGTGATATCCATACATCATTTTTTACTTCTCATACACCCTTCTAATTTTCGGTCATCCGATCGGATGGATTGAAAATGATCAACAGATAAAAATTAACTAAGGGTGTATAAGAAGTAAAATATGATGTGTGGATACCACATTCTAAAAAATAGGGCAGAAAATACCCACAGACATACAAACACCCGCCACGTTACTCCCAGCTGTTAAAAAGTAAATTCCATAAAAAATACAGGTTACAATTAGAAGAAATAAAAACTCAAATCGCCACCGGCATTTGGTAAATGACGATTACGCCCTCGTTTATCACCTTATTTACCCACTTGCAGAAGAGAGCGAGTGAGTAAATTAACCAATTGGCCAGCGTGAGCGGTCAAATTGTTTGACCGGCGAATGGAGCAGGGCCGGGTATCTTGGGCCTCACGTGACAGGCCTCACGAAATTCAAGACAAAAACAAACGAAACGAAACGATATTTTGCTGTGTCAGCAGCGTGTGATGTTCGGTCATTGCGCGCGAACTCTCCCCGGGCCCACACTGTCCACGTGGAAGAGTCTCAATGCGTTCTCGGGATGCGGCGTTGCGTATTTGGTATCTCTCTCTCTCCATCCTCCACGGTTTGCCTACAGAATACAAAAACAAAATTACCCGATATTTTCCCCATATTTAAAATAAATAATTAAAAAAATGGAATTTTTACGAAGTACTAAAAATTAGGAGGAAAATTTAAATGAAAAATAAATAAATTTTGAGGGAGGATTTTCTAAATTTGGTTGTTGAATCCTATATAACTGCGATTTCAGTGTTGGGTCTTTTGCTTCTTCTTCACTCAAATTTTCTCAGTCCTCTCGCCACAACGCCACACTCCCCTCTCAAGTCTCGAGCTTTCCGTACACTCTTCCACCTCTCTCTCTACAAATCTCCTTCCGTTTCTCTCTCTAAAGTACTTGCTAGATTTCTCGGTCCTGGATTTTGATCATATTTTTCTCAAAATTTCACCAAAAATTGCAAATACTGGAAGGAAAAGACTGAACGGTCAATCTCCTTCTTACCATTTTTGCTGGTTTTTTTCTGTATTTGAAGGTCTTCTGTGTTTGTGTTTTTGATCTGCTCATCTCGCCCTGTTCTCCATTGGGTCTTTGATTTTTTTGCATTCGATGCGAATTTAGAGAAGTCGAAGAACCCAAAAGAGAATTACGGATTTTGGATACAAAAATGGAGTCGAGTATTCTGTGTCCAATCAAATACTCAGAGCACAGAAGCACGACAAAGAAACTGATGAAACCTCGGAAGGCGGCATCCGAGTCCGCTTCCACGGTCACGCGGAGAATCGTACGGATATCTGTGACCGATCCGGACGCCACGGACTCCTCCAGCGACGAAGAGGAGGAGTTTTTCGGGCGGCAGAGAGTGAAGCACTACATCAACGAAATCAACATCGAGACCGACTTCAGGAACAGCCTTGTCATCAACAACGCCCGCAAACGGCCGGCGGCTGAGATTCCAGTGAATCGGCGGCCGATGAAGAACGCGGTTTCGCCGACCAACGTCGGAAAGAAGTACCGCGGCGTAAGGCAACGCCCTTGGGGGAAGTGGGCGGCCGAAATTAGAGATCCTGCTAGACGTCAACGGCTGTGGTTGGGGACCTTCGACACGGCAGAGGAAGCCGCCATGGTGTACGATAATGCCGCCATTAAGCTCCGCGGTCCTGATGCTTTGACTAATTTCGTTGCTCCACCGCAGAAGGAAGAGGAAAAACCAGAGCCACCGGTCATTGAGCCTATCGAGGTGGAGACTAACGAAACGACGTCGGCTTCTGGTTACGATTCCGGGTCGGAGTCTCACAATCTGGCGTCTCCAACCTCCGTCCTCCACTTCAGAAGCCAACCCATCATTGAAGAAGCTGACAAGCCCCAAAAATTTCAGGTGTCCAACCGAGTCGATGAGGACGAAGACGAAACCAAAACCGGTACGAACATTTTATCCGACGATTTGTCATATTTCGGTAACTATTTGCCTCTGGACTTGCCGTACTTCGACGACGCATTCAGTTTCCCAGCTCCGGAGTCGCCGCTGTTCGATTCGCCTCTGTTTTTCGACGACGGCCCCGCCGCGGCAGCCTCTCTTCCGGATTGTTTTATGAAGGACGATTTCAGCGAGTTGTTCCGAGACACGTACGACACGTCGTTGTCCCATACGACGTCGCCTATGTTCCAAGGGGATGACTACTTTCAAGACATTTTGTTTGGTTCCGACCCTCTTGTGGTCCTCTGAGCCACCGCTGACAGAGCCAGAATCACAGTTTTGCCGCCGTTGGCTGGCCGAGATATCGGCCACGATTTTTGTTTCGGACGCTTTTTATTTATTTATTTATTTTGCTGTGTTAGTGTTTAGTAGTTCATTATTCCGTTAAAAAGTTGACGGAGAGTTTAGTTGATAAGTGGGGAGTTTTGTTCAGAGTGTATAATTATTATGTATTAATTTTGGCGGATCAATGAGAATTTATATATAATAAAGTTATATATATTTTTGAAAAGATAACGATCGATCGTGCGTCAAATTGTTAATTGTATAAGCATAATTGTTTTTAATTATATGTTGTCTTTTAAGCTAAAATGATCTATTGTCATAACCTCTCGTTTTGTTTTCTAAGATTTGAAATCAATAGAATTGGTCATTAACTTTGTCATAATCAATTATTTTGCTCTTTAATATTTGAAATCAATACAATTGAAAAATGAGAAGTTATGTTAATTTTAAAGATAGTGAGCAATTAATTAATTACTGAGCTCTCCATCGTGGCATTCCTTTTGCTCAAACAAGTTGATACTCTTTCATATTTGAAATCAATAGAATTGGTCATTTGTCCAGTAAGTTGATGCTATTTCATATTTGAAAATAATATAATTGGTCTTCGCGTGCAAAGTGAAAAATTATGTTAACTTTAAGAACAAAATGAGTAGTTAATTAATTACGGATCTTACCCACCGTGGCATTCTTTTTGCTCAAACGAGTTGACTCGGAGTGTGACTGTAGTACCGCGATTTGCGGTTGTGGCCGGTTGGATTGGGTCCAAATAGCAAATAGTTGTGTGAAATGTGCGGCCTCCGATTTTGTTGCTTTTGTTTTCTTGGTCAAGATTTATATGTCACACGTTCACATAAACTAAAATTTGTTTCCTTCCTAGCCACTTTTGCTATGTCATATTGCCGGGCTCAAAATACACACGCGTTCAAGGGTTGTCGACTTTGCACCATTTTGTTCATCACTTTTTTGATACACACGCGTTCAAGGGTTGTCGACTTTGCACCATTTTGTTCATCACTTTTTTGATAGAGCTACCAAAGTTACTTGTAAATTGCACCGTTATTTGGGAGGTGACGGAAAATAGTCTTCGTAACATTTTTTAAAACAGTAAAAGTAACGACGAATAAAGGGATTCCAATGAGAGGTGAGTTGTTATGAGACATGACAAAAAATAGTCTTCGTAACATTTTTCAAAAAGAATATTTGGCGTTTTATGGTGAATGCAATGATAGGTTTAGAAAATATGATTATGAGATGGATAATCATGACAAAAGGGGGTAAATAAAGACTTGTAAAGGTTGGAAAGAGATGTTAAAAAAATATGGAGTACTTGGAGCTAACGGAAGACATGACGCAAAATTAAAGGCAATGGCTTCAAGAATTCATACAACCGACCTCGCTTAGTAGGATTAAACTTGATTGTTGTTGTTGCAATGACATTTAATGAGATTCAACTCAGAATTGAATTATTATTTAAGTATTGATTAACGTGATTAACATGTTTATTTCTTATTGGTGACATAATATTTGATTTAAAAATATAACCTCTAGCATTATCTTTCAAAGAATATGCTTAAAGGGCTCTTAAAAAGAATATTAAATTTAGTCATTGGAAGGTCTTTAGAGAACATAAATACCCTGCAGAAACTGGTACTTGTTTTGCTTGAGTATTACTCAATAAATTGGAGTTAGCAAATTGAATTAAGGAAAAAACAAGGGGAACTTGCCCCCATGATTATGTCTCAAATCATCAGTTGATGTTTCCATCTTGATTAATCATACACTGGGAAAGATCCAACTGAAGCAGAAAAACTTGTCATAGTCATATCTTAAACTTGATTAATGAATCTGTACTTTTTAGTTGTTACATGATTTTTTTTTTACTACAACCGACATTCAACAGTAACCTATACTAAATGGTGCGAGAGAGTTTACTCCGAAACATAATAAGTTGAACAGAAAAAACCCTAGTTAAGCACTCCACCACTTATAATTTTCACATAATAATTTACAACAAATATGATAATTAAAAAGGAAAACAAATATAATAATCAAATAAAGTCAGAGTCAAAGAGTTACTAACACACCCCAGTCGTGACGGCCAGCACGTCCTGGTCTCGACTGAGTTGCTCGTGAGTTTCCAAAAACAAAACCGTGAGGGAATGGTAAGCCCAAAGCGGACAATATCGTGCTATGGTGGTGGAGCGGGCCCGGGAAGTGATCCGTCCCGGGCCGGGATGTGACAGTTACTGTCCCGCGATAATTATAATTTGTTTGTACCCATGATAATTAATTTGGTAATGTATGATTTTTATTTTATAAGCGAAACGATAGCAATCTATCAGATTATTAAATATTTTAAGTAAACTTATAATCTTCGAAATATGACATTCTAAATTAAATTTTGGAGGCTCCTTAAACGAAAAACAAAAACGAGGCCAACTTAACAAAATTTCGCATCATACAATGCGAAACTGCATAATTGGCATCGTTTAATTACTTTTCTTCTTCTTTTTTCCCAAACAAAAAGGTAAACATACATATATATAATTCGATTTGAGTTGACCATTGCCCCAGTTCACCATTATTCCAAGGGCTCCAGCTCCATGATATACAAGATAGCATCAGTGTAAAGGTCGAAAAGGCAATGAAGATCGAGGGGTCCTTTTAAGCTGGTTGCCGGTTGGTAACAAAAACGAATGAATTGTGTTCTATTTAATTTGTAAAAGTCTTTTTAGCCAAAATAATTCTTGAGATTTGCATAATTCATCATTTTGATTCCTGAGATTTGAAATCAATAGATGTGGTTGCTGAGTTTGTTCATCATCAATCATTTTGGTCATTCCTTGAAAAATTTCCATTAAATAAAGATAAAATGACAAAAACACCCTCAATATTTGTCAAATAATTTTGATTCAATGTTTATTAAATTGAGGTTATTTTTATCATTTGGTCCTTAATTTTTCAAGGAATGATCAAAATGATTGATAATGGACAAACTTAAGAACCACTTCTATTGATTTCAAATCTCAAAGACCAAAGTGATGAGTTATACAAATCTCAAAAACCATTTTGGTTAAAAAACCTTTGTAAAAATATATAAATATTGCAAGCAGTTTCTGTTTGCGACAAATGAAATGGAATCTTTAATCCTTAGACTTAGATTATTAGGATCCGAAGGAGATCCAGTTCCACATGAAATTGCTGCGAAAAGCCTATAATCTGCGTCATGCTGCGTTAGGTCATGCAAAAATATGGCGCTTTATGTTTCCGTCTCTTATTTCACACACAATTGTGGTCTCTCCCAGACCTTATCACTATGGATTTACCTAAAAACTGTAGGTTTCGGATCATTGTAACGCATTGGAGTGTGACTCGACAAGAATATTTCAATAATTTCTCAATTTAAGCGCCCTTTATATGTATATGTATTGTACTTATGAAACCGAACGACCGCTTCATCATATTGCAGTATGTATTGAAACTGTTCTGGAATATTACAAACATATATTTCTTTTAAGATACAATTTTAAAGGGCAAGTTGCTTTCAATTTTAAAATAAATTATTTGTACAGTGATGACTTCCACTGAATATTAACAGGGCATAGAAAAAAATCTCTTCAGATCATGAATTTCCTTATTGGCGGAATTCACATTCAACATATTAATAAATTGATAAAAATGTTAAGGGTGATATTGTACCAGGTAATTAACTCACCTACTGTAATTACCTCTAACAAAAATGCTCAAAACAAAAGGGGGTTTTCCAAATTTCACCATTGCATGAAAAGTATGTAATAATTATATGATAAACCATAGTGAATTCGCGATACATATACAATTAAAAATAAAAATTGTTAACTTTGAGCTTCCTCTCTGGATATTTTTACAGAAAAGAGAGCAAGATTGTCACATGTTAAATGTGATTTTTTTTTTCACTTTTCTAATATATTATGTCATGCATGCATGTCACCTGGAATCTTTAGAGCATTTTCATCCATTTTAGTGAATTTGAGTTTAGGAATGGACTTATGGCAGTAATTCACTTAATAGTAAATTGCCATGGCTGTTACTACATTCTCCACCCATTGTGAATAGTAACGGACATGGTTTTACTATTCAGAAAGATTTGTTTATTTATAGTGTATAGTTCAATTATAGTAATTATTGAACATATGAGATTAATTTAAAATAGGTGACTATCATTATGTTATGTGTTCATGTCTATAAAAACTTTGTTTAGATTTTAATAAATGAATTGTGCTACATCTTAAAAACTTAATAAGATATACATAATAATTACATGTAAACGTTGAATTTTTTTTATTTGATTTTTTTTTTAAATATTTTTTCTAAAAATTTTTTGAATTTTTTAAAAGTTATTATTGCAAAAAATAATAAGAATCATTGGATTAAAATGAGAATTTGAAATCGAGGTCTTAGATTTGGCCATGTGTCGAGTACATTTGAAATAGCCTTTGTGGTGGGCCCTAGGCGACAAAATCTTGGTTGCCCCACTCTTCCAGCTGGGTGTGTGTACTAATAACACATTGGTGTGCTTGGTGCAAAAAAAATAAAAAATAAAAGGCCACGCTGACGTTAATGCCATGGATTTAGATACGGACTCAGAATCGACATGGCTGGCGGCTGGTGATCAAAAAATGGGTGGATGTGTGTTTTGGGATAGATTTGAAATCTAACCATGTCAATTTAACATGACTAGAAATGCTTTTAAGATCTCTCAATAAACGTGCCCGGATCTTTGAAGGACCAATTTCTGGACAATACATAGCTAAACAAATTAAAGCTATTTATGCCCTTGGCCAAAGGGGATTCAGATTTTTGCTGCATAATTTAGTGAAATACTCAATAATAGACTGTCAAAGCACACAAAATTGAAAGTAAAGAAACAGCCATTATTTGCCGCTGCATTTTCACCTAATATCAATTGAATGAGAAAAAAAAAAAATCTAGAGCGCATAATATCAATTGAAGATGATGATACTGTGTATTAAGACACGAAAGTGATGAACAGTTTAAAGGTAATCGTGTATATTTTGGTTTAAGAGATTCTACTTTACACCGTGTAAAACATGGTGTTTAGTTCCTACAATTTGAGTAATCATACATTTTTTTGCAACCATAATTTAGAGAAATTTTTTGTATGTATCAAAAACACGGTAACGTAGTATTAACATTTAACGCGTCATAACTTTAAGCTAATTTTTCATTGC